AGGCGAGGCTTTCCTGGGTAAACATGCGTAACAAAAGTGTTAATTGCCGGGCCTGCCTGCTGAACTTGTTATAATATCTTTGCGTCTGATATAATTTATCTTAACCTGACATTATTTTATTCATTTTACACCTGCTGGCTGTATAAATACACATTACATGAAGTGCAATGTAAAGTATGGAGAACACAAGACCAGTGAAGTGCACAAACTAGTCCAGAGCCCAAATAGGAAGTGGCAACCAAGGCAAACGGCGATAAAGAAATAAAAAAGATGGACATAGTATTGCAGTGATTTGTATAAGGGTATGGATGAGCTCGAAAATATCCCCACCACCAAGGGATGATGCTCCCTGGATCTGCCTGAGCTGCACCTTAACTCAAACCCAGTTCATCTCAGCTCTTGATTGGTGCTTCAGTATTAAATACTCTCATTGTCCTACCACCACACCTGCCCGTCTTGGCTCAGCCTATTTCATCGTCCAGTTGATGTGGCAGTATTACTATTACTGCCTGTCCAACTAGACACTGCACCTGCCCATCTCGGCCATCACGTGCCCACTGTGGTTTGTGCCCAGTCCATCCAGAAGCTGTTTGTCTCATCATCTGGGCTTCTGGTGTATGAACCTAGTTAAGGTATCGCAACTCAAGCAAATAGCGGTTTATGCCCGTTCACCACGTATACTTCAGTGTCTGGAGTCTTGCCTCTCTGGTGATGTAGTTCATTACCAAGTCACCACTGGAGCCGAGTGGACTTGCCGATGACTCTTCTAGAGGTGTCAAGATGAGCTCCTATGGAGATTCATAAAGGATGCTCCTTGACACTTAAGGGGCAGTCGCTCTCCAGCACCAAAGGGCAGGGAAGCAACACTCACAATGACAAGTGGAGAGCAGGACAGATAAAACGCAATGATGTGGCAGTGGGGAGCACAGGTGGTGAGTCTGCCAGTCATCTCAGTCAATCCATGGCAGCTGGGTCTGTTCTGTGATCTGCCAGAGGGCATTTGACATTTCACGCGGCCTTAAAAGTGCACCTAACATGGTACATAAATTTCGATTTAAAGCTTTCGTGACTGCAGGGATTCATCTTCTTGTTTCTTTCGGTAAAGTCACGTAGAAGGGAAGTAATAAAATAATAAAAATAAAACATAATAAAACAATTCTCACGACGTTTCGGCTACAACGCAAGCAGCCGTCTTCAGGTGAAGAATGAGACACTACCAAACTAGGAGCTTATATATAAGCTGCATTGGGGGTTGAAGAGCGCCTTAACAAAAAGAATGTGCATGTGAAGAGGGATTTAGCATATTCATGGAAAATGCGTAGGCGTTGGGCGGGGGGGTGTCAAAGTCATATTATGCCCATGCATTATGCAGGATCAGCAGCAACCAAGGGGGGTGCAGGGATTAGCAGTAACAAAGGAAAGGAATGTTAATGATATGTAGCTGCAGTTACTCAACAACCACGTAGAAAACTAAAGTATAAACTACATAAAAAACTAAAGTATAAACTGCATCGCACCATCAGTATACTTACTATACTCTATAATAAGCTGAGTTACTAACAGCAAGTAATACATTACAATTTTACCTCGTAAAAATTCTATAATATGCTTCCATCTAAACCTTATTCTCTTACATCACACGAGCATATACCGTACTATATACTGCCATAGATAAACCCAACATTAAATTATATACTGTATTGCTGTAAACCAACCTATATCTTATACATTTAATATCACACTATGTATTATTCTACACACCCTAATGTGTATCGAAATGGTTTATTACGTCCTTCCAATGATTGCTGAGCCAGAATCCATCTTCTCGGTTAAAGTTGTCTCTGTGTTTGTATATGTGGATCGCCTCATGAACGAATCTCTCATGATAGCCAGATGGCTTGCAGAGAACCTCTGTCTTGGAGAAGTCAATATCATGTGAGCCCACTGAGTTGTAACAGTGATCTGCCAAGGCTGAGGTGTTAGTCCTACCGTGTTTCAGGTCAGCTTTATGTTCACGGATGCGGTCCGAGACATGTCGTTTGGTTTCCCCAATGTAACTGCTACCACAGAGGCAACTTAGTTTGTAGACGCCAGGGTACTGTATGTCTGGAACCACATCTTTTACAGACGGTACCAGATCACGGATTTTATGTACTGTGTTGAATCGGACCTGGATCTTGTGTTTAATCAGGATTTTGGAGATCTTTTTTGTGACCCCAGCAATGTAGGGTAAGGTGATGGTCTTGAAAGGCTCCTCAACAGGATCCTTCTTGATGGTTGGAGTGATGGCTTTGCGGATTGTATAGTCGGAGTAACCATTTGCCTTAAGAGCTTGGCGTACGTGTTTGAGTTCACTGGAAATGTGTTCATGGTCGGAGATGCATTGGGCTCTATGATATAGAGTCTTGATGAGGGAATTCTTCTGAGATGGATGGTGGTGGGAATCCGGTTTTAGATAAGCATCCGTGTGGGTGGCTTTCCTGTAGACAGAGTGGCTCATTGAACCATCAAGTCTCCTTTTGATTAGGACATCCAAAAAGGGTAGCTTGCCATCATTTTTTTTTTTTCACCATGGAAGTCGAAAATGATGGCAAGCTACCCTTTTTGGATGTCCTAATCAAAAGGAGACTTGATGGTTCAATGAGCCACTCTGTCTACAGGAAAGCCACCCACACGGATGCTTATCTAAAACCGGATTCCCACCACCATCCATCTCAGAAGAATTCCCTCATCAAGACTCTATATCATAGAGCCCAATGCATCTCCGACCATGAACACATTTCCAGTGAACTCAAACACGTACGCCAAGCTCTTAAGGCAAATGGTTACTCCGACTATACAATCCGCAAAGCCATCACTCCAACCATCAAGAAGGATCCTGTTGAGGAGCCTTTCAAGACCATCACCTTACCCTACATTGCTGGGGTCACAAAAAAGATCTCCAAAATCCTGATTAAACACAAGATCCAGGTCCGATTCAACACAGTACATAAAATCCGTGATCTGGTACCGTCTGTAAAAGATGTGGTTCCAGACATACAGTACCCTGGCGTCTACAAACTAAGTTGCCTCTGTGGTAGCAGTTACATTGGGGAAACCAAACGACATGTCTCGGACCGCATCCGTGAACATAAAGCTGACCTGAAACACGGTAGGACTAACACCTCAGCCGTGGCAGATCACTGTTACAACTCAGTGGGCTCACATGATATTGACTTCTCCAAGACAGAGGTTCTCTGCAAGCCATCTGGCTATCATGAGAGATTCGTTCATGAGGCGATCCACATATACAAACACAGAGACAACTTTAACCGAGAAGATGGATTCTGGCTCAGCAATCATTGGAAGGACGTAATAAACCATTTCGATACACATTAGGGTGTGTAGAATAATACATAGTGTGATATTAAATGTTTAAGATATAGGTTGGTTTACAGCAATACAGTATATAATTTAATGTTGGGTTTATCTATGGCAGTATATAGTACGGTATATGCTCGTGTGATGTAAGAGAATAAGGTTTAGATGGAAGCATATTATAGAATTTTTACGAGGTAAAATTGTAATGTATTACTTGCTGTTAGTAACTCAGCTTATTATAGAGTATAGTAAGTATACTGATGGTGCGATGCAGTTTATACTTTAGTTTTTTATGTAGTTTATACTTTAGTTTTCTACGTGGTTGTTGAGTAACTGCAGCTACATATCATTAACATTCCTTTCCTTTGTTACTGCTAATCCCTGCACCCCCCTTGGTTGCTGCTGATCCTGCATAATGCATGGGCATAATATGACTTTGACACCCCCCCGCCCAACGCCTACGCATTTTCCATGAATATGCTAAATCCCTCTTCACATGCACATTCTTTTTGTTAAGGCGCTCTTCAACCCCCAATGCAGCTTATATATAAGCTCCTAGTTTGGTAGTGTCTCATTCTTCACCTGAAGACGGCTGCTTGCGTTGTAGCCGAAACGTCGTGAGAATTGTTTTATTATGTTTTATTTTTATTATTTTATTACTTCCCTTCTACGTGACTTTACCGAAAGAAACAAGAAGATGGTACATAAACTAGAGAAATTCCATGTGTAGCCGGCCCACCCTGTCCTCCCATGAATCGTAACGAGGGGATAGGTCGGCCAAATAAACAAGCTCAGAGAGGATGAGCATATACTCTGCATTGTTTTCTGTCCTCCGGAGAAGTGGGCGACTCCACTACAGATGTGCACCAGAGGTTTGTGAAACGGAAATGCTTTATTTCAAATTGTTCTTCCGAGGACCATTTGCATATCTGCAATTATGACCAAACATATCCCTAGCACCTTCCACGTCACACAACATCTCAGAGCAGCTCCTCAGCACGGAATCTACCGCAAACATAAATAACAGCCGCTTTTCAAATCTAAGAACATTTAACAATACAAATGTAAATATTCCACACCAAACATATGCATCAAATATCTGTAGTGCCTCCTAAATGTGCTACATTCCAAATTAATATTGCATTAATGAATCAATACGTACTTATATTATGAATAATAAAGAAATAACACGTAAAATTATAGTGACATGTAAATTTGGGATATTTAACTGACAATAACCACAAAAGCTTTATTTTTGAATTGTGACTGGAACCTCTGCCAAAACACCTATTCTGCTCGCCCCATTATATCAATGTAAGGCTAAATTCGTATGCAGGCAATTTTGTGCATTTTACATGCACAAATCTGGCTGTCGCCTGATGAAGCTAGTTGTAATTACTGGCAATGCATCGTACTCGGATAGTAAATGATCTGGCTTGGCTCTCCAACACTGTTGTACGAGTAACGAATTGGCATGTTCTGTTTCCGTGACAAACCTTAATAATTGGCTGTGTCGGATGGTGACTGGTTTAACGACATACTTTTTTTTATTTACGCGATCTAACCCAAAAAAAACTATTATGGATATTAGTTGCGAAAGGCCACGTGTTAAACTCGGCAATATCTGCACAGATTGGGGGGGGGGGGGGGGGGGAGAAGAGGACATCAGTGGGGGCAATGGGCGAGACACCGAGAAACCCGTCGTAGTCGCTAGAGTAAGTCGGCCTTTGGTTGGCGAAATTCGAATATTAAACTTCCTGCAAAAAACGGCAAACACAATAGAACTGGAAAAACGTGAACGTATCATACCTGTAATCATTACCAGACACAAACCTATCACCCTCCACTTCGCACAGTACCTCTTGATGGGATTTAGCACCAGTGTTCATTTTCTAGACCCAATTATAACCAATTTATGTTGAAATATTAAAATTTACTTTAATAGTATCAACGTCTTAATTGTGAATATGTTCACCACCAATAACTCAATCAACAGTCAAACATTACCTAATCCATGGCTTTCGATTAACATAAAAAAAATCTTTATTCAAGTTATATTTGATTTTCTATTTGAATAATGCAATATCTCACCAGTCCACCTCAAATCTGAAACGAGGGTGTTCACTGTACAGGTACTTTGAAATCTACACACTGTTGGGCATGGCATGCTGAACATTACCTACACGCATAAAAAAACACCAGCACCTGGCTCTACATAGCAAATACAGCAACATTGCAGAGTGCACAATTACACATGCGATTCATCACAGGTAAGTTCACACCAGCTACAGCAACTGCATGGCGCACAACACGCCTCACTGCAAGTGGCATGCAGCGTCAAGATGCAGAACTTTACTCTCAATCGGCACCTATAAACTGCAACTCGCAACTGAGTGCAATGATACATTGCGTGCGATTCGTCACATGAAAAGCCAAAGACGGCTTCTTACACTATGCACTGTACACATACTATACATCACCATACATACACACATTTCACCACATCACATTTACAACATACTATTCACAATGCACTGCACACTTGACACTACACTGCACTATAAACCATAGCCATTAAGTGGGATGTGCAGTAGATTTGCAGACCCCTGCTGTTAGCGTAAAATTAAAAAAGTAACATCAGGCTAAGACCAATTAAATGAAACCCAAAGGGACAAAGCAAAACAAGTGCAGAAAGTAGGCCTGACATTAAATTATTTTGATATCATAAACATATATTTAGTGTATGAAGCCAAAAGTAAATTTTACAAAAAGTTACCTTTTCTTTTACTAAAGGGCATTTAAAAAGCAATAAAAAAAACCAGACTGGGAGCATGCAGAAAAGCACAGCCACACATGACAGCCACTTTAATAGTAATGCCCAAAAGTTCAAAATTCATACTTATTCATTAAATATGTAACCATCAAAATACATTCCTAATCCGTGTTTTATAAGGCAGCATAATGCTTTGCATATCCACTATTTCACTTCGACACTCAATAACTTCATATGTACAGAAAGCCCATCTATGCTTAGATAACACCTCAACCCCTATGCATTCTTGAAATGACAGAAGCCTGTGAATAAGGCGAATGCTATGGAAAATCGTCTCAAACTCCAGGTTACACGTCTTCCAAGGTGCCATTTCACACATTCTGGCCCCTCCTACTCAGCTTTGTCCAAAAACTCCACCCACACCTCCACATCCACAAACTGCTGGGGATTGCCTCTCTCTCCCTCAGAATCGGAATGCTCCTCCTGCTTCACGCTGCCTCCATCCACTTGCAGATTGGGTCCTGGAGTCGAATCTTGATATTCACATTTCACCGTCACTTCTTCACATTTCACTTCTTCACATTTCACTGTCACTTCTGGCTGTGTTGCCAAGTTGGAATTTTCTTCTGATTCGTGTTTCATGAGAGATGGGCTCATTGCAGCATGTTGATTTTCACAAGTCGATTTCACTTTCTCCTTGTGGATCTTCTCATGCCTCTTTAAGTTTCCTGATAATGTAAATTCCATTCCACAGAGAGTGCACTTGAAAGGATTCTCACCTGAATATGTTGTCTTATGTTTCTTAAGAGATTTTGAATGAGTCAATGCCTTCCCATACACCAAGCACTTGTATGACTTATGCACTTGGTGTGTTCTCTGATGAACACGAAACGTTTTTGAATGAGCAAATTCCTTCCCACACATAGTGCACTTAAAGGGCTTCTCGCCCGTATGTGTTCTATTATGTTTCTTAAGATATGCTGACTCTGCAAATGCCTTACCACATACACTGCACTTGAAGGGCTTCTCGCCTGTGTGTGTTCTCTGATGAATTTTAAGAGTTTTTGAATGAGCAAATGACTTCCCACACACAGTGCACTTGAAGGGCCTCTCACCGGTGTGTATTCTCTGATGAATGTGAAGAGTTAATGGTTGAGCAAATGCCTTCCCACACACAGTGCACTTGAAGGGCTTCTCACCGGTGTGTGTTCTCTGATGATTTTGAAGAGTTACTGAACGAGCAAATGCCTTCCCACACACAGTGCACTTGAAGGGCTTCTCACCGGTGTGTGTTCGCTGATGAACATGAAGAATGTTTGAATGAGCAAATGCCTTCCCACACACAGTGCACTTGAAGGGCTTCTCACCGGTGTGTGTTCTCTGATGAATATGAAGAGTTTGTGAACGAGCAAATGTCTTGCCACACACAGTGCACTTGAAGGGCTTCTCGCCCGTGTGTGTTCTATTATGTTTCTTAAGAGATTCTGACTCTGAAAATGCCTTACCACATACACTGCACTTGAAGGGCTTTTCGCCTGTGTGTGTTCTCTGATGAATTGTAAGAGTTTGTGAACGAGCAAATGACTTCCCACACACACTGCACTTGAAGGGCTTCTCGCCAGTGTGTTTTGTCTGATGTCTCTTCAAGTTACACATCTGATCTGTGCTGTATGGACACTGGATGCATTGGTGCCTTTTACTTCCAGCCTTTGCCGAGCCTCTTTTCTCCATGTGGTTGATTCTGCAGATACATACATATTACACACACTATACAGGCAGACCTCGCTTAGTGCAACCCTTAGAGTGCCGATTTGTTACAGCACTCTTTGTCCTGGATATTTTTGTTCGTAATTTTTTGTAAGTTTACAAAGTGCTCACAAGTGAGAACGCAGCAGAGCTCACCAAGCAAAAGTACCCAGCTCCATTGTTCGCTCTGCCAATGAGAGCGACGCATGCTCTAAGCCAACCAGACCCTACCCCACGCGATTTAATGATCACGATTCGTGGTCATGATTATATTTTTAAAAAACTTGACTCGTTTAGCCAGTTGAAAACCCACACGACCAGGATAGAGTCTAAGGCTCCACCTAAAAAAACCTCGCCGCACAAATTTAGATTGAGGGCTTTACTAAGATCACGGAGGTCCTGAGGCCTTTCTCTGAGAATGACCCGGACTGAAAGCGCAGCATCTCCTTCAACCTTGTCTTCCTCCACTACCTTGTAGGATGAGTAAAGTATAATGCACTCGTAAGTATAGTACATAATACTGATATTATAAATCATTTTTATTAACTAATGTTTAGCATCTGTTTTCTTATTAGCACTATTACCGACACCCCAATGAAGCCCTCATTATTCATACTAAAAATATAACAGTCAGGAATGCATCCCTATGTAGTATACAATGGGTTTATGATGACCCCTTGTAGCGCTGAACGATTGGTGCTCAATTCTCCAGGAATAAAAGCATCTGGAGGAGCGCTAAGCGAGCTTTGGGTGTAAAGGGCACCCACACCGACTGTGGAAGCCACTGGTCAGTCTGCCTCCTCTCTCAGTGACAGGGCAGGTTTTGCCCACGCACGGTTCAAGCAGGCTCTACCCACTGCCATGCAAACGTCATCAATCCAGCATTCCAGCTTCACCACTCTGGTCAAATGAAGCGGTCACCCTGATTAGTAAGACAGAGTCGATAGACATAATTAAGTCCATCTTGAAAACTCACCTCTTTAAACTTTGTCTTTTTGTGTGTGTGGGCGAGTGTGTGGGTGGGTGAGTGTGTCACAGGTGTTGGGTGACTTCAATGCCCGAGTTGGTCATGATGCTGGTACTTGGTCTGGAGTAATGGGAAGGCATGGGCCAGCTCATCTCAATAACAACGGCAGGAGGCTGCTAGATTTTTGTGCAGCCCATGGGCTTGTAATTACCAACACGCTGTTCCGGCATCGGCGTATCCACACCACATCATGGATATATGCCAGGTCCAAGCAAGAACATCTGCTGGACTACAGTGTCGGAGCAACGGATGCGGGCCCATGTCCTTGACACCAGGACCTACCATGGAGCTGATCTGCCCACTGACCAGCGACTTGTTATCTGTAAGATGCGCCTGCCATTCTTCCACTCCGGTGGTGGGTGTACACCCAGGACCCAATCAAACCCTTAGTGGCATGGTCTCAGCTCGCTGATGAATTTCATCATCGCTTGCGGCTGGAGTTGGCGTCATTCACCACTCCTGCTGATGTCGAGGTGAGGTTTATGACTTGCTCATGCAGCTGCTATGGCTGCTTTGGGTACATGGTCCAGACCTCCCCAGAGACCCTGGCTGACAGAGGAGGTGTTCAAGTTGGCTGAGAAAAAGCGACAGGCCCACTCTCATCGGCTACAGCATCCCACGTCAGAGAATGAGGAGGCTTACCGCAACCTTCGCTCGGAGGTTTGGACAGCCGTGAAGCGCTGCAAGGATGGGTGGTGGTCGCGGGTTGCTGAGGAGATGGAGTCTGCCTCAGTGGCCTGCGATCACAAATCGCTCTTTAATTCCATAAAAAATGTTATCTGCAGCGCCACACCTATTACCGTCATTAGGGGAAAGAACGGTGATCCAATCTCCAACCCCGAGGAACAGGATTTCAGATTTGCTGAGCATTTCTGTGAGGTCCTGGGGGAGGGCAAACCCCTCACCCAGGAAAATAACGCGAGACAAAGTGGGGAAGATCCTGCTGAGGCTGCGGTGCCTCAAATATTGGAGAAGGAAGTCACCCCCTGTGAGTGGCTGTCTGAGGTGCCATCTGTTGAGGAAGTACTGAGGGCGATCCAGAGTCTGAGACCAGGAAAGGCACTGGGCCGAGATGATCTTCCAAGCGAAATGCTGAGGGAGGGTGGCATTTGTGCACAAACTGCCCTACTTGACATCATAACAAAAGTCAGGACCACTAGACGGGTTCCGCAGGACTAGAAGGATGCCCTGGTGGTCCCCCTCTTTAAGAAGGACCGCACAGAATGTAACAACTACAGGGGAATCTCACTCCTCAGTGTGCCGGGAAAGGTCCTGGCAAGGATTATTCAACATCGCCTTGCTAGGCATGCTGAGGAGAGGCTTGCGGAGCCCCAAAGCAGTTTCAGAAAAGGGCGGTCCTGCACAGATGCCATATATTTCTGTCCGTCTGCTACAGCAGAAGTGTAGGGAATTCCAACAAGACCTACATCTCTGCTTTATTTACCTGGTCAAGGCCTATGATACCATCAGGCCTGGGCTCTGGATTGTTCTTCGTGCTTTCGGAGTCCCTGACCCTCTGCTCAATATTATTAAGGACCTTCATGATGGGGAGCTGTCCAGGGTAAAATTACGTGGCCGGGAGTCGGAGTTATTCCCTGTACACCTTGAGATGCGACAGGGATGTCCTCTGGCTCCCACATTATTTAACATATATTTTGACCACGTAGTTAGTGAAGCCTTCAATAGCTGTCCCGGAGGAATTTCCATTTGGTACAGATACAATGGGAGGCTGATCGATGCCCGGGTGCGGTCAAGGGATGGCTCCCTATTGCTCAACCATGTTATGTATGCCGATGATCTGGTAATTGCTGCTCACTCAGAGGAGGAGTTGGAGGCACTGCTACTGAACCTGGAGCTTGCCACCAAGAAGTGGGGCCTTACCATCAGCCCCACCAAAACTAAGCACCTGCCTGGGTATTTTGTATCATTGGACACTCCACCCCCACAACTATCCAATTGGTGATAGGGCAGTTGTGGAGAGTTTCCCATACCTGGGCAGTGTGCTCATGACCGGCTCCGGTTTAACAGCAGATGTCTCACTCCGAATCAGTCGAGCGGCATTATCTTTTCATCGGTTGCGTAACGCTATGTGGAAGCTACCTGATCTATCACTCCGCACGAAGCTTCAGGTCTTCTCGGCCACGGTCATTCCCTCCCTTCTCTACGCTTGCGAAACGTGGACCTCCCTAATGGTACATCTTCGCCAGTTAGAAACATTTAGGCTGGCCTGCCTACGATCCATCCTGGGTTTAACCAGGCTGGATTGTGAGAGCTCACAAATCCTTGAATGTGGACAAAGTCCCATCGGTTAGTTCCTCCGGTAGGCAAGGCTGCGTTGGCTGGGTCATGTAGCCCACATGCCCAGCCACCGCATGCCTAAACAGCTTTTGTTCGGCCGGATCGAGGGGGCTAAACGGACGCGGCACGGGCTAGAGCAGAGATGGAGTGATGTGGTACAGGAGGATGTGGAGCTGAGTGGACTTGCCGATGACTGGTACCAGTGGTGTCGTGATCGACCTCTGTGGAGGAGGCTCGTGAAGGACTATACTGGGCAGTTGGAGGCAGTCGCCCAACAACAGAGGGCGGAGGAGCGACGCTCACAACAACGAGCGGAGCGCCGGATGGCTAAAGCACAGCAAGTTGGCACAGTAGGGGGCACAGGTGGTGCATCAGCCAGTCGTCTCAGTCGACCCGTGGCACCTGGGTCTGCTCCGTGACCTCCTGCCAGCGGGCGTTCGACACTTCACATGGCCTCAAGGTGCACATGGCCTGGCACAAGCGTAGTGGTGACGTCACCGCCACTTAGTGGCGAATGGCGGTTGTTGTTGTGGGTGGGCGAGTGTGTGTGGGCGTTAATATAGCGGTTAACGCACTGTGCTACGGACCTGTTGACCGGGTTCGATTTCCTCTCAAAGCCAACACTAGTGACAAATACCTGAACTGGTCCTAGGCCTCTCCTAGGTCAACCCGGCCTCAAATGACCTGGTGCGGTGTCTAAACATCGCCACTCAAGAGACAAGGGCAGTCCGGGCGTGGTGCTGGTCACCCACCACTTCGTGTGCCGTACCGGCCTTCATAGATGCTCGCTGACAGTGGGTGAGTGTGTAAGTGTATGAGTGGGAGCGTGTGGGTGGGCGTGTTGGTGGGCGAGTGTAATTGTGTCATGCTTTGATGTCTCATTCCGACTAAAAATAAACGTTTGGGCTGGTATCCGAATATCCCAGTGTTGAAAAGCTGCCTGCAGATTACTCAATTGGGAATACGCGCAGAAGCATCGCCCCCCTCCCCCCGAGAGGTGAAGTAGTCAGCCAGGTGAAGACACATTAAACTTAAGAGAATCAAAGCAAAATCAGTCAGGGAAGGGCAGGAGGCAAGGCCTGCATGGCTCGGCCCCACGTAGTAACGTTCCAACCTGGACATCGATTGCATACTTGCCGCTACTCAATTGCTATCGCTACGAGAGAGAGAGAGGGAAGAAGCGAGGCTGTACCTGGGTAAACAACAACAACAACCAACATCACGATGTGAACTTCTCACCTCCGATCCGAGGCAGGTGCGCGCACAGAAGCAGCTCCTGGAATCTCGTGACGTCACACGGAAGCACGCGACGGGAGATGACATGACGTCACTAGCACCCACTTGCCTGCCCACAAGTTTATGTGAATGTTTATGCATAAATTATGTTAACGATGCGTGCCCATATATGGAGTGATTGGGCGTGGCTGCTTAACGCCACATAATGAACCGGCGACGGAATTATTGCGTAAATTATGTTAATGACCCGCCAGTCGTATTTGTTTTACCGGAATGGCAATCGGAAGCGACCAAGCAGACTCAACGGCACGTCTGCTTGGTCAGACGGGGAGTTCCCTTGGTGACATGACGTCATCTTCTTGGTTATTTCGGTAAAGTTACGTAGAAGGGATATAAAATAATAAAAATAAAACAATAAAATCGAGACATGACGTCACTAGCGGGGTACACCCTTCTGCGGGTCTCGCGCCGAAGACGGCACGTGGAGGGGTGACGTCAGAGGCGGCGAGTTGTGGTGAGGGGAGCGGTGGTGCAGCGGTTAGCGCTGCACTACGATCCCGGAGGTCCGCGTTCGATTCCTGCTCACGGCCGACACCGGCGACGATTATCTGAATCGGTCTCGGGCCTCCCCTAAGGTCGACTTAGCCTCAAATGAGTACCCGGTGCGATGTGCAAATATCGCCATTGGGGAGACAAAGGCGGCCGGGCATGGTGCTGGCCACCCACTCCCTCGTGTGCCGTGCCGGCTTTCATAGGCGTCTGCCAACAGGATTTGCCCCAACAGTTTGTTATTGCTATTGGGGGGAAATCTTAATCTTTGTGTACACGGTAGTATGTATCAGTGACGTGCGGTCAATGGTTGGGGGAGGCACTGGCTCGTGTCAGCGCCAGATTTGCACACGTATGAACCCGATAGAGGTAGCTTAAATTCACCATTCAATTGGCAGGTTGCACAATGACTATTGGTGAGGCGGCCGTATCTTTAATATTTCATATCAGCATTCTTTACAACACACGCACACAGGTCAGTTACGTATTCGATTCACGTTTTAAAGGCGAATGCAGATCCTCGCTTCATACTCATTCAACACAAATGAAAAAATATATTGCATGGTCTTACCTTGTAAATGAAGTCCATTCGCCTATCCTTCTGGACAAATATGTCAGTGACTTTGTTGTAGAAGTCCTCTTTATTCTCTTTTAGTTTTAAAGTCACTCCGTCTCAATAAAGATGATTGCCAGGGATGAAATTCGTCCTTGGTCAGTCCGATTCCGACTGTATGTTTTGAGTCGTTTCAAAGCAGAGAACGACCTTTCAACGGACGCTGTTGTAGCTGATATAGTGAGCACCAACTTTGTCGCCTCGGGAACCGTCTGCATCAGATCATTCTGGGCCAAAAAGCTGAGGAACTGTCCGGGTGATTTGCATTCATTCCTCTCTATTTGTGAACTATACAATCCGATAAGGTCAGCCTTTAGTCTATCAAAGTCAAAGTGTCTTGCGTATTTTGATAGGCTCTGCAGTTTGGTGTCATCGAAATGTTGTGACATTTCATACAATTTCATGTATTCAACCAAACCAAGGAAAGTTAGCTCACCGAAATAATCAATCTTTTCCTCTCATCTTTGATCAGTTGTTTACTTCGGGCATTGTCTGTCAGGCCAAGTGTGATGAATTTCTGCTCGAATCGATCGTAGAAACTGTCAAACTCATGTCTCTGGCGTTCCACAACTCCAATTATGTCACGGATTCGCGCACAGCAGAATCCAATGCCCATTACTTTATTCCGCAGTACACGAAAGAGTGCATCGGTTTCATTGAAAATGCCCTCATATGTCATTATGAATAAGCATGTTGATGCTGTTGACAGCCAGAGATCATATCCGGCGGCCATCATCAGGGTGTCATTGTCCCAACCATCGGGATTTTCGCTCATAATCCGGAACACAGCACGCAGATCAGATTGGTACATGTGCAATAAAACACGTGAGGCCCCGCTGCCTTCGACACAGCGGGAGGCAGGACGCGGCCGGTGAAGCGCTGGCCCAAGCGGGGTCATCAACAGCAGAAGGAGTCCTCAAGGTCCACGCGTCTGTGGGCGGAAAAACAGGGCCCTTCGGGGGATCAACCAGCAACTGGGGTGGTGCGTCGGACGAATCAGACACCGGCAAGGTAATCATTGGGGATGACGGATCGACGCACGTAGGAAAGAAGGGTTCAACCGGGACGTGTGCACGAACCAACGGCGTGGACCTGCCCGGATATGCACACATTGAGGATGTCGAATTTATATCAATTCCACAGGCCCCTCCCATGGTCTGTGCAATTTGGGAGAGGTGCCCACCGGCACCTGGGGGCAATGAAGCCAGGCCCGGTCGCCCACAGACCACGGCATGTCGCGATTCGACCAGCGAGCACACCGCTCGTTACGAGCCTGGGTTTTGGCCGTGCTGATTCGCGCCGCCTCCCGCGCTTCAGTACGGAGTCGCAGACGTGTTCAGGAAGGGTCTGTTTGGGCCCTTTCATGGGCGTTCCCAACTGCACGCCAATTGGTGGTACATTCTCCCGTCCATACATGAGGAAAAACGTTGAGTACCCGGTGGAAGCATGTGGGGCCATACGATAGGCGGAGAGCACG